CGCTACTAGGAGCAAGGACGCTACTAGGTGCTCCTGGCATCGCTACTCACACAAGTTGCGGTCACTGTCTGCGCGCATCCTCCGGCCCTACACCGTGTTGGTGGGTGCCGAGGAGTTTGGTAAGAATATCTACGTGTCAGATATGAACAAAAATGTGTAGTGCACACAGGAAACAAGTCTAACTACGTGAGACCGAATGTCCGCATAGCACGAAGGGCTTGGATCTGTGAATTCCTAATTGGGATCGACCGGAATGGACACGGTATCGAGGTCACCGTTGCGATTCCAAATCTTTCGCAAGTTGCGACGATACAGAAAACGCTGATGAAAAGTGAGTGAGATTGCATCAACAACTGGAATGGACGGGACAATGAATCGCATCGGGATCAAACCATCCGGATGGTAAGGAGGTTTACAATGCAGATCCGCAGCATAGTGGATCAATGTGCGTTGAACCGCACCAGCATTTGGCATTTGAGGGCGTAACGCGAATCCTCCAGTATAAGACCGGCCCCAGCCAACTTGAGTGAGACTGATGGATCCGGTCTTAGAGTATGTGGGAAGCAAAGGTGTGCTCGTGTAACTCTGCAAATAAATAACGATAGTGCGAAATGCTTCTGCTTGTTCACGGAGGGCCCGTTTTGGAATTGGCAAAGCCAGGACCCTGGGATCCTGCCAATGGACAGGTTGTGCTCTTTGGGAATCAGGCAGACGTATCCAAGTAGGAAATTGGACACCGGTGTTAACTACAAAGGCAATAGTAAGCTCATGCCATGTTATTCCCTGTGTGATGAGCGGATCAGTATGTATACCCAGAGGGTCCGGCCATACAAGTGATGTACAGAAACGAAACACTAAGTCGGCGTATTGATTACCCCACACACAGGCCGTAATCCAGGCTGGATGGATATGTGGGGAAAAATTAAAGACCGGAGGTGGAACTACGTAGTGTTCACGCTGGCGAAAGATGGTACCCCATTCCAGGGAAGCTTCGTGCTGAGCTAGCCCGGTGCCACTGGCAGATGTGGTTGTTTTGTGTTGGAGGTGACAAAAGTTGAGATCAGCTAAGTACAAAAGGATCGCCTTTGTTTGTCTGTATTGATCTTGATGCCAGATATTGGCATTAGAGAACAGATGATCGATAGTCGGATGATCTGTGTGGCGTGCACGCACAGCTGCGAGATCTGCCCATGAGTTGCCAAGTGCGTCATCACGCAGTGGTCCAGGGGGTAACGAAGTGATGTCTTGGTGTGATCTAACCTTCCGCAAAACGAACTGTGTAGGTCGCCAGAATTGTGCGATAATACGCAGGAGATCTGCATTAGCAACTCGGCGCCAGGAAGGATGATTGGTTGGATTAGTGGTGTCGCGGATCACGTTTATTACATATTGCGAGTCGGTGGTGATCACAATTTGCTGATGCCACTGGTGTGTAGCCGCATGTTGAACGATCCAGGCCACTGCGGCTAGTTCAGCACGGGCGATGGTTTGGGCCCCGTTAACGTGCTGAATTTTAATGGTCAAGAAGGGTGCAGTGCTCGTATCAGGGAGGAATTGTACGACGGACCATGCTGCCCGACGAGTGACCGGCTGGATCGGTGTATCAGCTGATCCGTCAGTATAGAAGTAAAGGACGTTACCTTCCTGTCGAATTGTAGTAGATTCAGTATCTGTGCCTCGGTGTCGAAGGAGTTGACGAATGACCTCCAAGTCGGGATAGCTATGAGGCAAAGGCAACCACAGCTTGGCGGGGTTATCTTGAAGGTAGCGGACCGCCAAAGGGTGTCGCTTGCGTACATGTGCAAAATCTGGGCAGTCAAGTTGTTGGTGGGAGTGGGTGTCAACTTGACCACAAAATGGGCAGTTGGCATCAACAGTCGATGTCCATTGGGCTTTGACCGCACCGACTTGGTACCCTCCTGTCAAATTATAAGCGATTTGACGGATAGTGGTCACTGACATAGATTGAATCACGCGAGACAGCAGCGTATAATCAAAAGGATGGTCAGTCGCCCCTTTCCGATGGCAAATATTGCGGTGGATATGATAAGCCCATGCTTGACGGAGGGTGGAACGTATCGAGGCAAGAGAATCGTGCCGGAGTGAAATGGACATATATCCGTCAAGAGCAAGAGAACCATCTGGTTGTAAAGACCACCCTACTATGTTCAAGTATCTGGCGAGAGCGCCCGCAGGACCGATAGCGGGTCCCGTGTGCGACAGTACCGCATTTGTGAACTCGCAAGCGAGAGCAGGGTTGATGTGGTACATACGACGTAAGAAAGCCAAAGCTGTAGAAATCACATAAAGGAGAGGATCTTGCAGTTGTTGACTAAAAACATGAACTGCAAGCCAGCTAGAGATCTGAGATTCTGGGCCGATCAGAGCTATAGCTGCCTCCCTGCGCAGTTTGCGAAAATGACTGTCGCCAACGACCTGTGTCTCTGCTCCAAAAAAAGCGTGGGGCCATACGGCCGTCTGTATGAACCGGGCCTTTTGAAGGAGATCAGTGGGAAAACGACGAATTCTTCTACATCGTTGAATCGCGCTGTGGATTTTGGTCTTCAGATGACCCAAAGTGATGTGTCGTGTGTAATGAGTCATGCAACCTAAGTCTTTAGTCGAGTTAAGGACTGGGACTTGGTTGCTATCTGGGAATGTTTGGTTTAAAAACTCTGTCCAGTCTTGGCGTGCATCACTGGTAGCACCCCAGGCCCAGGATTTGGCATAATCGATCTGCATGCGGAAGGCGTGAACGAAATCTTGGATGCGACGAAAAGTAATAATGTTATCACGCTGATTAGTGGTCAAATAAGACCAATTGTCCGCATACGCATAAGGGAAAACAGTGGGTGATTGAATAGTCCAATAGAAGGCCGAGGAGACAACGAGCATGGCACAAACTGACAGACTATCCCCCTCAGGAACTCCTGTGGTCATGTGGAGAGGGGGGCCAACGCAATTTCTGACCTGTAATCGACGAGTCATTTTGCGGAGATTATGAAACCAGAATTGGATGGAATCTGGTGGTACTCCGTGATAAATTAAAAGATGGTAGATGACTCTGCGCGGAAGGAGATTAAAAGCTTTGATTAAATCAAGGGTAAAGCCCCGCCATGGTGCGGACCTATTTTTTGCCTTTTCGATATGAAACTGCTGGAGAAATGTGATGTCTTGGACTCCGCGAGATGGCAAGCCCCCTGAGATGGCACTTGGCCAGGTTTGTGTCCAGTGACTAAGCAGCTGATAGGCAATGAGTTTGGAGGTTAGACGACTCAGGTAGCCTAAGATTGTAATAGGGCGGCCATCATTGATAGAAGTGGCTGGGTTCTTTTTGGCTAACAGAATTACACGTGCGATCATGTGATGTGTCGAGACCCCTTTTGGCCAAACGTGGGCGAAAATATTGGCCAAATCGTGCACGGCTTCTTGGGGAAGGAGTTGAAGTTCTTCCGCACGCCAACCATCTATTCCCACGGCTTTAAATGGCTTAAGTCGTTGTATGGTGCGTGTAAGGATGTGCCGATCGGTCCAGGTAATTGCCAATGGAGTCTGGGGTGGAATCCGATTAAGGAGGGATTGCAACAGGGGTCCCAAGCCTGATCAGCCTGTTCATCCTCAGGCGTGTCACGGTTCCAAAATTGAGACCAGTATTGAGCAAATGGGCCGACCATATCAGGGAGCTCGAAGGCATAAACGTTTTGCTGTATGTCACCATGTGTGGGGAGGACTCCCTCCAGGACTTGGCAGGTAAGTGAGTTCGCCTGTTGTTCTACGATTCGAAGAGTAGCATCACCAAAACGGGCCGCAGCATAAAGTCGAAATGCAACTGGTTGGTGGAGTACCAGGCGGATGGGGCCCTTTGACATCCGTTGTAATGTGGCTTGTGCTCGAAGTTGAGTAGGGAATCCTGGCAACACTTTGGATTCTTGTGCTCTGAGCTGTTTATAGAATCGGGAGCTAGACTTATGTTGAACATCTAATTCCATGCCATATTTATTCGATAGTCGGCGAAGCTTGGCTTCTTGTTGGCAATATAGGTCGGCGTCATATTGTGTGATTTGACGGACTGTGTACAATTGATCGAAAGTCGGCAGGTCGGTAGGGACTGCATCAATGGCCTCAAATTGCAACAACCACCGTGTCCACGAATTGCCATATCCGTGAGCGAGTCGAATGGCCTGCCATTGGAGGACCAGTGATTGAAATTGAGGTAGGGATGGCCAGTCGACAGGATGGATGTCGGCCAAAGTGTATTTCTTGTAAAGCTGTTCAAGACATCGCAATCGGCGGACTTGGCGGACTTTATGGCGGCTCCGAAGGGAAGTAACCTCCACCGGTGGCTCATAACAACCTGCCCAATCTTTCTTAGGAGAACGGAGACTTGAAGGATGGATAAGACGAGGTGTAGCACACCTACCTCGGTGAGTTTTTGGCAAAAAACGTTGACTATGAACCAATGGATCAAGACGGTGCTGCGATTGAAGAGTAAGGTCAACTGCCCTTTCAATGTGAGCTGACCATTGGTACAGACTAGTGCTTGCATCATCGGAGACATGAAGAGGGCAACAACGGCGCACCTTCCGATATTGATGTGCAAATTCAGACCCTTTGATATGAAAGAGGGTCCAAGACTTAGGTACAAACCATGTTTGTGATGCCAAATGTGTTGCTGGTAAATTGAGTTGGACATGAACAGCACAGTGATCTGCAAACTGGTGTTCTGGACCGATATCAATTCGAAGAATATGTGATAAAAGTGTTGGATGAATAATCATGGAGTCGAATCGTGTAGCTCCTTTACATGTAGGTGGTAGCTCGAAGCCAAAAGCTCGGCGATGGAACTCAAACATTTCACAGCATCCCATG